TCTCAGCTGAATGAAAGCGAAACTGTTCAAAGAGGCCTGAATAGGCTTCAACAACCTCTCTGTGGAATCAATTGGATATAACTGAATTATGCATATTTCAAGGGCGGGGGGGGGGGGGGGGGGGGAGGGGGGCTGAAGCCCCCCCTTCAGCAGAAAAAAAACAAACAAAACAAAACTGAAGAATTAGATGCTTTTTTTATCGTTTTCCGTTGTGTTGACGGAAGAAACTCAATTAGCCCTCCCCCCTAAACTCAATTAGATCCCCCCTAAAATTTTGGCTGGATCCGCCCTTGGATACAGTTACTGCAGGCGCGCACGTTAGAAATGGAAGGGGATTCCCTTTTGGGCGCTGCTTATAACTGAGATCATTATAGTGAGGAGATTCCCTTAAGGATACTATAGCAGAAGGGGATTCCCTTCTAGTCAATACACGTGAAATACTAGGTCAGTTTGTAAAGAGTAAGAGGATTCCCTTGAAGGCTCTACAGGTTGAGGAGATTCCCTTACGGATACTATAGCAGAAGGGGATTCCCTTCTAGTCAATACACGTGAAATACTAGGTCAGTTTGTAAAGAGTAAGAGGATTCCCTTGAAGGAGATTGCCTTATGGACGCTGGCGGTAACCAAGATATTGATCTCTAAAGTAAGGAGATTCCCTTAAGTATACTATAGCGGAATTAAGATAATTGAGGGGGTTGCGTAAATCCCCCCCAAAAAATATCGCGCAACCTCTCCTTTCAGTAAAGAAATATCGAACAAACACACATAAAAATAATAAAAAATGCGTCCAGGGGTTGTCGCAAAAAATATATTCCTGCAACCCCAACCCCCCCCCCCCCCCCCCCCTTCCCCAATTATTTAATGGTCAATCCCTTAAAGTATCGTGATTGTCATTGATCATGTCGCTTGTGTTTTAGATGCAAATAGCGAAAATACAGGAATCAGAAGAGGACGTTCGCTGGGAACACAAGGATGATGTACATCAATGTCACAAATGTAAAAAACCATTAGCAAACAATAAAGATAAGGTAAGTCACCTCTGATTTATTTCTTTTTTCTAATTCCGATTTAGCCTTCGATGCTTTATTAGCTAACCTTGCTTCCATCGCTGTTGTCTAAGCTAGGGACGAGGGATCTCTTTCCAAAGTCCCTAACAAGGTATTGAAGACTCGGACACAAACCTAAAATGCCTAAAAATAATGGAGAACTTAGTGACAGAATGAATCGATTGGCGAAAAGCTGGTCCGAGTCTAAGAGAGAGGGCCATCGGAAAATGGAAAAAATAGGATTGGTGGGACGCTTGGGTCACTTGGGTCCAAGGATAGGTCGGAATAGAAGTGACAGAGTAGTCGGAGGAAGCGGAGATTCATTCATAAGTTTAACATGTTTTTGGGTCCTCTTACAGGCACACTGTCATCACTGTGGCAAGATCTTTTGCGAAGCATGTCGATCCAAAACCATCAATTCATCCGTCACGCGACGAGCTCACCAAGTCTGTGATTTATGTCACGCCATCTTAAGTAAAGACCCAAAAGCTTTGGTAAACGACATTAGCGATGGTGATAGGTAATATGGAACGGTATAGGCATAAATTCATTTTCTAATTGGTTTTTATTCTAATTACGTCTGATTACGTCATAGCAATATACTAACGTACTCGACAGGGTCAAAATTAGAATCAAGGTATAAAATGACCACCAATATCAAAATCCGTTGTCATGGAAATAGTCGTTCCAAAACGTGAATCATTTAGCCTTGAGAAATTCATATTAACTTACTATTCATACCGACTAGTTCTCCACTTCTTCAAGAGATTCTTCCGGCCTTTTAAAAATAACGGTGCACGGCACGGTCACGGAAGGGAATGTCATAACATGCAAGATATTACTGCTCGTGCAATCAAAATGCTGGGATACTTCATGGTCATGGCACGGCACGTCCGTATCATATGTAACGGTATCCTTCGTATAATTTAGGGCGCAGTTTCCCACACCACTGTCATTTTAACTGTCAACTTGATCTCTGCCTATCAACATACTTTCAACTTGCTAAACGTACGTTATGGACGTACCGTAGCGTGACGGGACCGAACATTTGATTGCTTGAGCAGTTAATTCGCGTGCTGTGTTTGGTCCAAAGAATGTTAACTCCTTGACGGTGCCGTGACGTTTGACGCTGTTCCAAAATTTATTCTGCGATCGAAACATCATGCGTAATGTTTTCCCATTTCAGAGTATGTGTCATTCCCTAGAGTATTGCGAGACTCGTGAATATAGTAAACTCAAACAAAGAATCTTATTCTCAAGGGAATGACACGTGGTCTGACATGGGACAAAACATTATGGCCAAGATGAAGAAGTCAATTATGGTCATGATTTGGTGGTGGTAACTAGCTTAACCATGACAATTGACCCTTTAGCTTCGTTGTTTGTTGTGCACATTTCAGACCATGTGATGCCACTCTCGGGAGTTGATTCTTTCATGTGTAAATACCTCAACATGTTGGTCATAAAAGAACAATTCTCAAGAGAATGTCACGTGATCTGAAATGGGAAGAGGTGGGTTTGACTTCTAAAACGACTGTGCTACTTCAAAAAATCAATATATACTCGTACATGACGCATCATTTGACAGGAGTGATGAATACTTGTATGTCTACTCCCATTGTTTTATTAAGAAAATCTGGGGGAAAACCTGCATAAAATACATACGTTGTACCCTGGACGGTTTTTCAAAGGAAAACGAAAGATCCAATCCACTGTTTGTTCATCATAGGCCATGTGTCACTTCCTTTAGAACATGACTCTTTGTTTTAGTCTTTATTAAATATGGGTGAAAAGCAAACGAATCAACTTATTTTGGAATGGTACAAAGAAATAATAATCAAGAGAATGCCATGTGGTTTCAAGAAAACAGTGGATTGGGTCTTACTAAGCCAAAAAAGATCCAGATTGAAAGCCCACTTCCTGAGATATGCTCCATTCTCACACACAAATGTTTCAGTACGAGGCTACGTGCTCAATTGAATTTATTCTTTTCTCTCGCACGAATATCTGCACATTTTGCACTTAGCCTCACATTGAAACCTTTGTGCGTGACTAGCCTAAGCTGTTATCTTGCTTACATCGACTAAAAATAGATCTTAAATAGAAGAGAACTATGCTGATAAACAGATTTGAAATGAGCATTTCATATTTTGAATAATGAATTTCCAACTAAATTTCTTATCTTTTCAATATACAGCTTCAAATTGTTTTTATTTTGTCAAAGGGAAACATATTGAAGGTATCATGTGGTCATGATTTTGAAATAATACCACTTATAATTGTAAATATACCTAATGGATTTAGAATAAAAATAAACTGTCCAAAATACAATGTTATGATGTTGGATATCTTAGCATGCTGTCAGCCGTGACTTTAATGTATCGACATCGCTAGAACAACTGTAAGTCAAAGACTTAGATACTCAACTCACAGATTAAAATGGAATAGAGTGCAAACAATTAATCCGTGAAACACTAATTACTAAATAGTACAAAATAGTGCTAATTAAACAATAGAAAACAATGGAATTTGCATGAAATTGTGCTATTTAGTATTACTAAAGTTTCACGGTTATATTGTTTGCACTCTAGTCACTTTACAGCAGACACAGAGTTTGCATGTTTATGGAAATTGCAGAAACAGTTTCTCGTGCCATCAAAGGTAGCTGTTCCTTTTCATCGAAGCATAACAAACGGTGACCTTGCAATGATAGATTTTTTTAAAAATACCTTGGACAAAATTTGATGTCTCTATCATTTAAAGCTCACTGTCATCTCCACTTCCATGCAAAGGAACAGCTACCTTTCAAGATGGGAAGGGAACTGTGAAGGAGACTATTGAGCGAGTTTTGCAAATATGGAGGAGAACCAGACAAACCAGTCAAGTAACATGTAAAAGGGCCACCGGGCTGAAATTAGCAGCCAACTCGGCAGCCAACTCAATATTTCGAAATATTGCCTCGAATGCTATAAATTATGAATGGTATATCCAAAGAAAAGCTTTTTATAAAAATTTTAAAAGTCACAACTATCAAAATAATATTAATATCTTTAATATATTACTTA